ATTATTCCTAAGTGGGGGGACAGGTCCTCGAATCACAACAATATTTGCCTAATGAGAAGAAATCTTATTGTACAATTAAAGCAGCTTCTTGGTTGTGAGTCTTGGAAGACCTGCTAGGGAGCAGGCCTTTTCCACCTTGGCCTGGGAGGGTGGGGCCCTGACTGACTCCACCTACAAAAACACTCGGGTAGGGGGGGCTGTTTTGGGGTTGTTGGGGTTTTTTAGGTGGGTTGTTGCTGCTATTGATGTTGGTTTTTGTATCTTTATTTTAGATCTCATTGTGATTTAGATGGAAATTGTTCATTTGGTTGCGTATTTCTAAATATTTTATTGATTGTTTATGACAGGCACTTTTTTCATGTTCTAAGCTGCCTTGAACATGGTTTGAACAGTGGAAAAATGGCATACAAATAACAAATATACAAATGTATGTTTGTATATTCTCTAGTGATAAACTTAATTTAAACATATATGAGTGCTTGCCCTTGATGAACATCCCTAAATGTATCTTCGGTTTTATCTGTAATAAAATGTAGCTTTTCTACCACTTCTGGGAATTGCTATTCTGTTTCCCATTGTCTACAATTTTGCTAGTTTAGGTTCTGTTAATAGATACCAAGCCACATCTTATTCTCAAAAATACAGACTGGAGTCCTTTTGGAACCTGCCATCCTAAAATTAACTGATCTTAATCAAAATATCATCACCCAAAATGTGTTCCTCACAGAAACAGAGGCACAGCCACAGAAACATGCACTGTTAATTCAGCAGGAAAAAAATCTACAATTTTACATCTATATAATTTGGATATACTTATAACAAGCAAGCAGACAAGGCTTTCAGATATTTCTCATTTCATAGTTTTAGTAAGATGATTTCTACATTCGCTCTTAGAGTGTTAAATATTACATTATTTAGTGAAAGAATGTTGTATAATAGTCTAATTTCAGAAAAGTGATCTAACTGGAATTTGTTGCTGCTTCTTAGCAGTTGTTGCTTCAATTGGGTAAAATAGCTTTAGGATATTGTTTTTAGGGAGGGAGAGAAAAAATGATTTTGTCACTTCTTTATTCCTGAGAATGAAGACATCTGAGAGGAGCTCATGCACTTTAAGAGAGCTAGTTACCATTATTCTATATAGCACCCATTCATACTTAATTTAAGCAAGTGCTCATTTTCTATTATTCCATCCCATGCTATTGTTCTGAAACTGAATAATGTGACCAGGTCCAATCATTGAGTTTTTCTCATCCAACTTGAATGGGGCAATGGTCATTTCCCACCGGAAAACTATACAGCAGTGCTCCCTTTTCCTACAAATAATGCATATTATTTGATTATTTTCATCATCACTTGCACTCTTTTCACCTGACTCTCTCCTATGCGCAAAGCAAGGTGACAACTAGGAGGGAACAATCTATAAAGTCCCATTCATATGGTTTGATTGAGCATAAAAAAACAGCTCAACACTGCTGTGATATTGTATGGGGTGGTAGGGATGCTGACTTCTGACTAATGAGTATCTCTATATATAACTGAGATAGATAGATGATAGATGATAGATAGATAGATAGATAGATAGATATAGATAACTGAGTGATCTCACTCGCTGGATCATCACCTTGTCATGGTGAGTGGGCTTGCATGTTCCTATGACCCTTGTGAGCGAAGCTGTCAGGAATTCTCGTACAGTGGTACCTCGGGTTACAGACGCTTCAGGTTACAAACGCTTCAGGTTACAGACTCCGCTAACCCAGAAATAGTACCTCGGGTTAAGAACTTTGCTTCAGGATGAGAACAGAAATTGTGTGGTGGTGGCGCAGTGGCAGCGAGAGGCCCCATTAGCTAAAGTGGTACCTCAGGTTAAGAACAGTTTCAGGTTAAGAACGGACCTCCAGAATGAATTAAGTTATTAACCCGAGGTACCACTGTACTCCCAAGTAGGGTCACCCAAGGTGGTAAGGTCAGAGGGAAAGAGCTAGACAAAGAATGATCCAAGAAGTCCTTCACGGCAGAACAGGCGAATGATAACAAGCGGTATGTTACAATGGGTGTGAAGGCGGATGAAGGCTGCGGCAGATAAGAATCTACCATTCATCGTGACTACTCATGCCATCGGAACAGAGCCTTACTGTGAAGACTGTGTGTTGGTCAGTGTGCACTGATTTACACACATAAAACAAATTCACGCACAGGCGTCTTCCAAAAACCCATCGCAAACCCCAAAATCCCAAATTGGCAAATCCACACCGTAATCAATTACACTTGGCAAATCCACACGGTGATCAATTCCTGCCCGGAAACCAATGTCCCCACTGTGGAAGGACGTGTGGATCCAGAATTGGCCTTCACAGTCACTTATGGACTCATTGTTAAAACCGTGTTTATGGAATACAATTCTACTCGGCTACAAGTGATCACCAAAGAAGAAGAAGATCTCTTCACAGAAAAAATTGTTGTTATGAATCTTTAACATCTCCTAGAAACAAATTGCCTTTGAGCTTTCTACAACATATGGCAAAAAGTTGAACATCCCATAAATAGCTCTAGGATTCAGTTTTCATCTATTTTTCAGATTCTGCAATGCAAAACTAGTGCTACTGCATATTTGTTTAGTACTTCTACAGTTTTAGGGCAAGCAAGCACTCAGGTAATGAAATGCAAATGTGAGGTCATGTTTAAGAATTAATCATCCACTATTAATTAGTCATCTTAAGTATTCAGGTAAATGATTCTGAAATTGCACAAAATTATCCCTTGCTATAAATGATAAAGTCATTTCCCAAGTATTTACAATTTAATGCATATTTATATATTCTGTGACCACAGACTTTTCATAGTCCTTGATTTATCTTCACAGTGCATGCCAGGGAACTTATAAACTTTATCTTTGAAATGCAGGGTGTAATTGAAACATTTACCTAGCCTATTAAAATAAATCAATTTACATGTTTATCTCTACATCTGCATTTTCTCAAAGAAACAAAAAAAAGGTGAAGAAGAATACTTACTGTAGTGATTCCAAGTTCAACATAACAGAACTGATTATTCTAACATCTGCAATGAGCAACGCAGATGTTTTGATCCATGGATCAAATTAGGCCAGCCACACATCTTTCACTTGTTAAGCAAACAACATGGCCAGTTTTCAGTAATTTTTCTCACTAGGATGGGCAAGGTGAGAAACGGGGCCCCTCCCTTCCCTACAAAGAACATTATTTAAATATCCCCAGATAGGCAGATTTCCTCTTTCAGCTCCAACAGGATAGAACTTACTCAGTGGTCCCCAGGACTCAGCACACTTCATTTTAAACTTTCTCTTTCCCCCTCCACTTCTAGTGTGGGTTTATGGGGAAATTGTCATGGCCACATTTTTGTAAGCTACTAACAATAGTTAGGGAGTCTTTCACTTTTCAGATCAAGGTGGGGGGGTGGCAAATTTAGTGGCAAATGTGGAAGTCTTCTTTTGCAGGTGTGGCTTGATTGCAGTAAGTCACCTGATGTCATGGTGACATCAGCTGACTAACAAAAAAAAGTCACAGAATAGAAGTGCTTATTGAAGCATAAACATGAGAGCATGTGCCAATATATATGTAGAGAACTCAAAATAAAAGTTATCTCAGCTGTGGCCACTATATAAACAACAATGAAAATCTCCAAATAATCATGACTGAGTTCCAGGAGTTTCCAGGAGATTATTTCATATTCTTCAGAAATAAATTCGATAATTATTCATGGATGGCAGCCATTAATCTTATTGCCTTGAATTTTATTTCAAGAAAATTGTAAATTGTAAATTGTGATTCTGCTACATACAACTAGGTTGTTACTCCAAAACTGTAATTCAAACGTGAAGCATTTTCATTTTATAGGCAGGCAGCAGCAGACCATGCATTTCAATATATTTACCCTTTGCTATGAAATGAAGCCTCTTCACTTTTGGACTATAGTTCTTGGAGTAACAACGATCTAGAATGAATTCAGATCTCTAGATTTATGGATGCCACCCACAAAGTACTGTATTTTTCTGTGTAAAACACGCCTCCATGTATAAGATGACCCCTGTTTTGGGGGACTCCAGTTAACAAATTAGTGAGCTTTTTTGGGGTGGGATTGCCCAGAGTTGTTGGTTTTTTTGGGGGGGTGCCAACTGCACGCCTCCCCAAAGCCACCAATTGTCTGCCCACTCACCACCAGCAGCTGCCAATCGCACACCCAGCCAATCAACAGCAGCCCTTGCCGTTGCAGCCACAATCACCCGCAAAAATCGCTGCTGACAATCTCCTGCTCGCAGCTGCAACCAATCGCCAGTGTCCCCCCTCAGCACTATCCGTGTATAAGATGACCCCAAATTTTTAACATTCTTTCTTAATACAAATACATTGTCTTATACCCAGAAAAATATGGTAGTTCCTAATCATATGCTACAAGCCATCCTGGGAATCTACAAGCCATCCAGGGAATCTGGATGATCCCATATAGACTTTAAACTTTAAATCCTGCAGCAGAAATACAAGGCTACTCACACATTGACATGATGTCACATGTTCGCAGCATCTGAACTGACAATTCATATGTGTCCAGAGGAGAGAGATTTTGTTTATAGGATTCCCAAACCACCAAGAATAGTAGTGCTGCACAGTTTTACAAAGCACATGAGATTTATTTTGTCTTTAACAGAAATCAGTCTATGAAGTGAATGCCATTGTTAAAATAAAATAAAATACATTGATTCTATACTGGGCTTATTACTTTTTATTTAACAAGGACATCTTGATTCTGTTAATATATCTTGGTTAGTTGTCCAAAGTACAGACCTGCTATCCTTTTCATGCCTTAATGATCAATTTGCATGCAATATTAAAATTTCAAGTTGCATTAATAATGGATTCACTGTGCTTGTCCACATTATAATGAATTTTCAGAGAAGCAGGTTAATCTTGAGGTCTAGAAAGAGGGGGAGAGACTCTACCACCACCTCTAGGTATGTTGGGGAATTCTGCATTGGCCAGGAAACAAACCTGGGTCATCTGCTTGGAAGGCAACTGTGATAACCACCATACCACTGATGCTGAAGAGAGCAGGACATAAAACTGTGCAAAAAGAGAACAAGCAGACAGAAAGAAGGGAAAACCCTGTCCCAGAAAAACGAAGACCAATGGCTAGGCTCTGAGGGAGCTCTAGAGGACCCAGCCTATCCCATTACTAGGCAGAACAGGTCTGGAGAGCAGGATGTCACCTCTTCTTCTTGCTGATGGGGAGAAGATCATAGATCCTGCTGATTTGATCCAGAGGGAGGAGTTGTGCCAAGAGGAAGAACTTCCTTCCAATGTGGCACCAAGGAAAAATAATTCTCTGCCTCAAACACAATGGAGTCTGTTTACACATTGTGCTGCAAGACATCAAATGAATCTGGGTCAGGATCCCGCCCAGTGATATTACTGGTGTCTTTACTTTGAGCAGCTGACCCTCTTGTCACATCACAACCTACGTTTCAAAGTCTTTTCAGTTTCAAAAGTTGTTTGTCACCTGACATGGAGAACTACTATTTGGGAAATGCAATTTCCCAAGCCCCTTGGGAATCTGGTGCTAATTGCACAGCGCTTTGGATCCTGGATATGGTTCCCCAAATATAGAGAAAGAAAGTGATATAAATGTATTTGTGAGCCAACCCAAAGCTTTTTTCTGATTTCAGTGGGATGTGCATTCAAGTACCAAATTAATGCAAGGTCACACCAGCTCTGTTAATCGGGATTGTAACACGCCACACAGCAATCTTGTCGTGAATCATTAAGCTGGTAGAACACTTTCAGGGCCTTTCAGAAATGTTCAACATATGACAGCAACAATAAGGGCAGAGTAATAATTCATTCGGGCACATGTACATAAATATTTAAATACAGGTTAACGGCAAGACCATTTCAGAAACTCATTCATCCTTAGGAGGTACTGTGCATATGCAAAACACACACATAAAACAACAACAAAATCCCACCCAACCCCAACATGTCACATTTAATGGATGTATCTGCATAAACAAGATTATTCAAATCTTCAGGAAAACAGAGGTGTCTCAAGCACATTTATTTGGAATTCCTTCCCCAAATTCAAAATTTATTTAGGATTAATGATGGTGAAGGTAAAACATGGAATGAAATGAGGATGTTGGAATTCAAAGTTGGACATTGCTTTATAAAAACTGGGAAATATGGTAATTCTGGATACTGTTTCTATCTTAAAAGTGACTGGGTAGGCATGCCATCAATACTTTCATCTACTATTAGCATACAAAGTAAGAAAGGTATTCTAAGGGGGTCTAAGCAGCACAGCAAGCCTTTAAATTCAGGGCCATTAATTTTGAGACAAATATTTGAAATTCAGCTGCACCTTTGTCTACTCTCTCATAAGTATGTAGATGGTTAATTGAAAGATGATAGACAGATGATACAGTAGAAGAGAGAGAGAGATGATAAATAGATGATAGATAGATAGATGATTTATAGATAGATAGATGACAGATAGATGATAGATAGATAGATAGATGATATAGATAGATGATAGACCAGGAAACCTACTATCTGTAGAACCACCAAACAAAGTCTTGCATGACAGTCAAGAGTAGGGGGTGGGAGCAGTATATCAACTTCAAGGTTGCATATTTTCCCTTCCTTGCCAAGTGTGTGTTGAGGGGAACCGAAGAGCTTTTGATCCCATGGGTCCAAAGTCTCTCCCAATCTGCCACTGAAAGGTTCCCTTTTCCTTCCTACTCTGTAGCACTTACAGGAGAGAAAGGTTTCTGTAACTGGAACACAGAGGCCTTTGGGAGTGGACATCTTTCTCCACCCATGGAGAGAGAGTCCAACAACATCCTATGGGCCATCTCGCCATGATTGTAGAATTGTGCTGTAAATCAGCCAAACATCACCATGTTCACTAACTGCTTGGGATGACTCAGTGAATAATTAAGAAACCTTCCCCAAGGAAAGATGGTGCCAAAGCAGCCACAGGTCAGGGGAATAAAGGTAGTGGACAGTTGACTAAAAGGTGAACTTTCCCAATGCAAGTGTTTTCAAGAAATATCCACACACGCACATATGCACATGCACACACATACACATTCACATACACAGAGCACCACACGAAAAATTGAAACCAGCCAACATTCAATGCAGCCCCCAAAATAAAATTACTAAAGGAATGAAATTGACAAAGATGAAATGTACAATGAGTAACATTTCAAGTGAACTTTGAGGCAGGCTACATTAATAAAAACAAATGTCTCTCACGCTAAAATTAATCTCAGAATATTAATGTCAACAATTCCCTCGGTGTCTGAGCTTGCCTTTCAATTCTGACCCTTTAATATTTATATCATGTATCTCTTTACCCTAAGCAGTCTTCTGCCCTCACTGAGCTGCAACCTATTCATGTGATAAAACCACACACATCACATCATATACTCATGCTGAAACAAGATTTAATCGTTCAAGATTAATTTAGCGGCCAGCATTATTAGATCTCCTACCATACATTCCATAGACACTCAAATATAACCTTGAAATGCTCCATTCAAAAGGATTAGAGCAGAATAAATGTGAAAATACGAATTTACATATGTTTGGATTAACTTTATTGTCTGCACCCCCCAAAAAACCCCCTAACCCCTAGAGAACCGAACAAAACTAAATTCATCTGAGATGCTGCTTCAGCATAGTTACTGCTCTTGTACCAAATTTTCAAAAGCATCCATTATTTAATTGAGAATGCTGGAAAATATCTGGATTATTTAAGACATGGTTGTTCTTCACAAAACACTAGGGGCTGTTGCTCCTGCTTGCATTGTTCATCACGCCTCCCTACCTGTCACACCCCTTCCCTGCTTGCCTACTACACTCCTTTTATATCTCACCAACCTGCGTACCTGTCATGGTACTGCCAGAGAATGCAGGGGAGGAGCAGGAACAGGCAGAGGGAGGTGGGCAGGAAGTGGTGATTGAGGAAAGAGGGGAAAGCCAGGAGGCGGGAAGGCTCTCAGATGTTGAACCAGAGCCTCAGCACCACACAGGAAGTTCTGGCACAGATAGTGAGACACTGCCTATTCCGTCTGCCAGGGAAAGGAGAGAGTTTAAGGGGGGGGAGAAGTATCACATGAAACTTCCCCGCCTTTTCTGTTGGAGGAGAAGCCAGCGTAGGCCACTCCCAGAATCTGAACCGGAGGATGCGCTGTCTGTACATATGTAAAATAAGGACCGTATATATATCTCTGAGTGAGCAAGGGTACTAATTGCGAAGAGCATTCCCAAGCCATCACAGTACCACTCCCTAGACCTCTCCTTCCCACTTCATGAAACTAATAAGCCCCCTATTGACCCTCCCAACCTCATTTCTGAAGCCACTTCTCCCTTCTACCCCGCAGCCTCGCTTGGCACCAGTTTTCACATCCACCTTTTTTCTGTAGCCTTCCCCCTTGCACACAGACCACCCCACAGTGGTCTCCTGGATCATCTTTCTCCTCCCCCAACATGGCAACCACTATCTCCCCCCAATATATGCTGATGATGAGGATCAGGGTGATGAGGATGCCTTTCATCTGTGGACATACATATGGTTCACAGAATAAAGAACTAGGCCGTGCAAACCATTCCAAAGAAGAGTTGAGCTGAAATGTTAGGCATGTATGGCCATTGGGTTCAACTGGCATCATTCGTGAAGGACTCACTACATCTTTATGCAGGTGCAGCCTGTCAGTTTGCATTTCTTAGTACAGAAAGTATTGATCTGATGTGTAGAGATCTTTCCTATTCTAATTGATTCAAGAGGGTTCTGGAGGCTTCTCTGTGTGAAAGAAACAAGCAGAAGGTTCATGATGGTTCTTCCTTCAGAGAAGCTGAGTACAGCTGGCTTAAACTGGTCCTGTTATCTTTTTCTGTCAATGTCATGCTGACTATAAAAGTAAGTGCAACTCGTACAGCACGTTGGCGACAAATATTCACACAGTTGTTCAAAAATAATTTTACACCATTTATCAAATATGTGAGAAAGAGACAATTACTTACAAAGTGCCATGAAAACTTACAAACTACCTAAAATAAAGTGATCTTGCAATATCAGATTTTACTAGGTTCTTACAAATTCTTGACTCAGTTTTTTGTTTTTGTTTTTTGTTTTTTTAATAAGTTCAAAAAGATTCAAGAAAAGGGTAAGTTCAACATTGTTCCTGGTAGCTGTGAGGTGCTGAGGAAGCAGCGTATGAGGTAATGAAGAAGAAGAAGAAGAAGAAGAAGAAGAAGAAGAAGAAGAAGAAGAAGAAGAAGAAGAAGAAGAGAGTTTGGATTTGATATCCCGCCTTTCACTCCCTTTAAGGAGTCTCAAAGCGGCTAACATTCTCCTTTCCCTTCCTCCCCCACAACAAACACTCTGTGAGGTGAGTGGGGCTGAGAGACTTCAAAGAAGTGTGACTAGCCCAAGGTCACCCAGCAGCTGCATGTGGAGGAGCGGAGACTCAAACCCGGTTCCCCAGATTACGAGACTACCGCTCTTAACCACTACACCACACTGGCTCTCTAAAGAAGACAGGGTGCCAGCGTTCTATCCCTGTTTCACCCTAGCAGTCCATGCAGTTGAGAGGCTTCTGATTTGTTGGGTTTGGCGGATAGCACACTCCCTGAGCACAGTTTTCTGGGCTTCTTCAGTTGTCTCGTGCCATTGATGCGTCTACTAGTGCTAAATATCTCTGAAGAGACAATTTTTTGGCTTAAGCATACAAGACTGAACAGCATGACTATAAAAGTAAGGCCAGAAGGAGCCTGAGTTTCACTCTCTTTCTGTCTCTCTTTCCTTCCGGTGTGGTGTTCTGTTCTGTATCCTTAGTGTTAAGGTTTAATCTTATTATAAGTTATTGTAAGTTTAAGTTAAGTCTGCTGCAATTGGATTTCTTTTGGACAGTGTCAATCCTGAATGTATTGGATTTGTGACCATTATGCCCATTTGCCTTCAGTAGCAGTAAAGCTCTGCTGGATGAAATACAATTGCTTCTGGTCTATTTTGGGGGAATCCCACAATGTGTTTAAGT